TTAATATCATACCACTCATACTTGAACAAAATCACTGATTGATGAACATATGAGTCAAAATATTGAAGCTCAATTATTTCCTTCAAACTCCCATACTAATCTGACTCATCATTGAAAGTGGTTCCCTTCACACAAATACTGCTGTTCATGGTCTTTTTATTTTGTCCATATGCGATAGTATGAAACCAAAATCCATTAACCCAATAACCATTGTATACCTTAACGTTATTGACTGGGTCAGTTACTAAAGGCAAAAGGCGAGAATCAACCTCATATCTTCCATTACGTACCTAGATTTGTTATAAAAATATTTAATATTTAATCCTAAAATATATAAAAATTGAGATCTTACTAATAAAGATTATTAAAATAAATTACTTACCGTTGTCTTAAACCAAGGAATAAATTTAAGTTGCCGTTTGATTTGAATTTGATCCTCTGATAGACCAAAACATACTTGATAATCAAAAAGCCTACATGAAGAAGTTGGAGTAAACAATCTAAACATACTAGTAACTTAAACAAATGAAAGTTAGAACTAGAGAACATAAGCAATCCATGGATTAACTTCTTCACAATTAAGCAAAACATAAAGTTCTGCTGCCTTTAATTCTTTAGGTGACAATGCACGCATACGCATTTCTCCAACTAATGGTTGACCTCGATGTTTAAAGACAGACAAACAATTATCCATGTCATCATTCACGCCAACAATGTTTATTGGTTGACGATTCAATCTTGTCTCTATGTTAGATCCAAAATAATGCGAGCAAAAGAAGGAAATTTCTGAAAGAATATTAGACTCGCAAATTAAAGCTTCAACACGATTTTTGTTCAACACTGTTTTCTTAAGGTCATGCATTTTTCTGTTAAACAAATAAGAAAATTAATTAATAACATTAAATTATTAAATATGCTCATGAATGTTATTGTGATGCAAAGATATATTAGAAGAAATATATCTTTCAAAAGGATACATCCAACGAAATTGGACAGGTCCTCCAACTTTTGCCTCATATGGTAGATGGATAGCCAAATGCTCTATCGAGTCAAAGAATGCTGGCGAGAATACTTTCTCTAACTTGCAAATGGTCTCAACAATTTTTTCCTCCCACATCTCCATGTTACTGACTTGAATAATCGGAGCAATTAAAGCTCTAAAAAAGTTACTCATCTCAGTTAAGGGACCCCAAACTTCATCTATGAGGAAATCACGGAAAGCAATTGGCAAGAGACGTTGCATGAATACATGACAACCATGACTTTTCATCCCAAACAATCGAAGTTCCTGCATGTTAACACATCGTGCTATGTTGGATGCATACCCATCTGGGA